GTTGGCAAAACCGAATCGCACACTGAAATCAGAAACTGAAAAATGCTCCACTTTTGGTTTCACAAATATGTTGATCCCTGGGCGAAACTCTCCATCCCAGGTAGGAATCTGTCGGGGGGGGGGGGGAGGGGAGGAGACGAAATTAGCACATGTTTTTGGACGACAAAATTTTTCAAAAATAAGGAAAAATCTAACGAAAGTGAGGAACTGCACTCATTTCGTTACCAGAGCGTGTGATTTAAAGTGGAAGAAAGGCAATATTAAGTGACTTTTGGATTAATTATAATCACTGGTCGCTGTCCCCCCCCCCTTTTTTCACAATGCTAGCTTATGGGCAAAATTCTTGCCTCAGACGGAGATGGAACTCGCGCATATTACCAAACCTCAAAAGCGATTCCTACCTGGGATGGAGAGTTTCGCCCAGGGATCAACATATTTGTGAAACCAAAAGTGGAGCATTTTTCAGTTTCTGATTTCAGTGTGCGATTCGGTTTTGCCAACGACTAGGAATGCCTAAAAAAGTGAGTATGGCTCTCATAACTGGATTTCGAGGAGCATTATTGAATGGCACGGGACCGTCCGCAGATCTACGGATTGAGAATGTGAGCAAGGCATAATCGCTAGGAATTTAACAATGTGTTTTTCTCAGTGAAAACGAAGTATTCGTTCAGATAATGCTTGTCTGGTATGCATCGCTCTTCGGGCATTACAAAAGCATCACCTGTCAATGCGATTGGGGTGGACCGCAATTCAAACAACGTTTGGTTGAAAATCAGCCGGATAAGGGCATACGACCATATTTGTCATATTTAACCGAGACGGTTATGTTCCACGAATGGATAATGAAAAGAGTGAGTAACGCTTCGTTTTAAGTTTTTTTTTGAATTTTATCTGATCAAAGCTAGGCTTCGGAATTCTTCTAATTTTATAGCTGAATCTTTTGTCCGTCTAGAGGGTTTACGACCAGAAGACAGCCTATTAGAATCAAGGTGAAGGTGGTCAGTGGTGCCGTGATGAAGAAAAAACCATGAGAAATGGCCCAGAATCCCGAAATGGGACCCTTCCTTGCCCGTTGATTTCCACTAATGCGACTCTCATCGGTGCTGCCTCTTCAACGCTAGCACTCTCTGCTAGCCGGCTAGAGACCTACGGCGCGTGATCAGCCAGTCTGTGGGCGTAGCGCGCGAATAGTGTCGAGAGGGCCATACTACATCGCTGAGGGCATATCCTTTGCTACGGATTGCGCGTCATCCAAATCCTTAGTGGGTCCACTATCTTTTCACTGGGTATGTTCCCCTTCTTCGATCTTCAACCTTATCGTGGGATCTCCTTTAACGCCTCTACTCGATTGATAAAAATCGTTTCACTGTGACTTGGTCGCTAACCTACGTTATGGGCTTGCGAAGTTAGGCCGCGGCACGCGCTGTAGCGACAAATTTGCTTCGCAATTCAACAATTGCCGCACATTCAGGTCACGTCACTTAGTAAGCGGCAAAGTTGTTTTTTTTTGTGCGCAGGGTATGGGCTGAAAGGCATTTCGTGTCTCCGCGCACACTAAAATAGGCAGCAAGCAATCCGAGCCGTTTGAACCCGCCAGGGTGGGTGGTTATGGTCCATACAGAGAGCACGGAGAATACGAGCGTGCGCAAATTGGCTCGGTCTGAACAACGAGGACTAAATGCCACTGTTTTGGGCTTACGCTGATGTGCGCGGTGTGCACTTCTGGCACATAGCCTTAGCTTGCATGCCTGCGTGTATTTCAGTGCCAAAGAATC